TACACTGTAAAACTAGTTATTGTGTTTGAAATGGTCTAAACTATGGACTAAATGAATCCAAAGTAGAAACCACACATTGCAACTAAGAGCACACACAAATTACTTTGAGATTAGGAAAAGAAACTTTTCTAATCAGAAACAGCTATGTCATTGGTATAACTGCATACTCTTAAGAAAACTCTCAGCCTCTGGAACTGTAGTGCAGTGATTTCAGTAACTAATTACCTCATCTTCATTTAAATAACAATGTAGCCAGTAAGGTCCTAAACCATGTAATTACTTACTTGAAATTGGCTGTGATAGAAAAATATAGAAGTCACTTTAAGATGTAAGTGAGGTCCTTTGTTTTCTTAAGCAGGAGTCCTAATGTACCTTACGGGAAAATTTCTTACTTTCTTACTGAATCATTATAAAATACATAGAAACCAATGTAAAGGACTGATTAAAAACCCAGTACTGCACCAAAAGTCCCAAATTGAGAATCAGAATCTTCATTCTAGTTCTAATTATTAATTAGATTTCTGACCATAAGCAAATAACAGCAGAACTTAATTTTCTCACTTGCAAAATAAGACCTTTACTAGGTGACTGTTAAGATACCTTCCAGCTATAAAATTTGCTTCTGAAAGAGACCAGCATCCAGTATCATATTAAATTTCAGAGTAAATCAGCTGCAATGTCAACTCCTGGAAATAATCAATCACCAATGTTCTATGCCTCTGTTTTAATTCACCCTGCCCTTGGACCAAAGGAGAAGTCTAGGTCCCGTAAGGACTACCAACTCCAAACTGTGTTTCGGAAATGCTCCCACCTTACTCTTTTTATCCCAGTGTCTCATAGGACAGTTATATAACCCAACAGGTCACTAAGATAGAATCTGAAAGCTAAAAATACTTTGAAATGAAAGTCAGGGTACTGCTACAGGTAAAGAGGAAAAAACTAAAGCTCAGGGCCACAGCGTTGCCAGAAGACCAAGAACTATAAGTTAAAGAAAGCATGGTTCTTAGTCTGTTTTATCAATACTCCATTTTATTAATAATACTATGCCCATGTACTGAAAATATCTTCACTTACTTTCTATTACCCAAAGCTTCAAAGATATTTCATTACCTCATAACAATAGTTAAGTATAAGTGAAAATCAACTTAATATTGCTTAATGGGAGATGTCATATAAGTCTATACTGCCCATTGGTAATCATTTATCTTTATTAATTTATCATCCTGTTGAACGCAGGAAACAATTCTTATAGAGATCTGGTCCCAAAGCAGGGAAAGACATTTTCTCTCCATGTCATCCTGATTTTTGGAAAAACGCACACAACAAAGATTTATCATTACACAAAATTTGGTTTTAACAATCACTTTTATAAAACAAACTTATGAAAGGAAAGATTTGAATTGCTCAATTGAATTTTTTTAAATAGGAAGTGTCTTTTCATTTTAAATTCACTCAACTTATTTTTAAAAATTAAATCACAGCTAGGTTACACTAAGAAAATGTCAACTTCATCCATGTTTCCTTAGAAGGATATCATTAAACAGGAATAGTATATACACATTTAGGAAAAATTCTGTTCTTATGAGTTTTTCTTGCAAAACAGATACGGTAATTAAGTGATATGATTTAAACCAAATCTATAGACAGGCTCATAGTCACTTCTTAGAAGGCAAAATACAATTGATACTATTATCAGAATAACACTCAAAACAACACAAATCTCACTTTCAAAATCATTATTACATAAAAATTTTCAGATATGTTTTAGAGAAAGAATAGTTAAATCAAATCAAACAAGTTAGAAAAAGCTACTCAAATTAGGTCTGGGAATTTAGCTCAGTGGTAGCACACTTACCCAGCATGTTCAAGGCCCTGGCTTTCATCCCCAACACCAAAAAAAAAAAGGAGGAGGAAAGGAAAGGGAGGGAGGATAAGGAGAGGAAGGAGAGGGAGGAGAAGGAATGGAGGGGGAGGAGGAAAAGAGGAGGAGGAAGAGAAGGAGGAAGAGGAAGAGGATGGGAGGAGGAAGGAAGGAAGGAGGGAGGAAGGAAGGGAAGAGGAGGGAAGAGGGGAGGAGGGAGGAAGGGAGGAGGAAGAAGAAGGGAGGAGGAGGAAGAGGAGAAGGAGAAGAAAAAAAGAATCCATTCAATGTGATGGTGCATGCCTGTAATCTCAGCTACTTGGGATGCTGAGAAAAGAGGATCTCAAGTTCGAAACCAACCTTGGCTACATTAAAACCTTGTCTCAAAAAGAAAGAAACTAACTATTAAAGATAAAACTTAAAGAATATATGAAAACAAGTCCATTTACAATAGCCTCAAAAAAAAAAATCAAATACCTAGGTGTAAACTTAACAAAGGATGTGAATGACCTCTACAAGGAAAACTATAAACTTCTGAAGAAAGAAATTGAGGAAGACTATAGAAAGTGGAGAGATCTCCCATGCTCATGGATTGGTAGAATCAACATAGTAAAAATGTCTATACTCCCAAAAGTAATCTACATGTTTAATGCAATTCCCATCAAAATTCCAATGACATTCATCAAAGAGATTGAAAAATCTGCTGTTAAATTTATATGGAAACACAAGAGGCCATGCATACCAAGGCAACACTCAAAAGAACAATGCTGGAGGTATCACCCTACCTGACTTCAAACTATATTACAAAGCAGTAACAATAAAAACAGCATGGTACTGGCACAAAAACAGACATGAAGACCAGTGGAACAGAATAGAGGACCCAGATATGAAGCCACACAACTATAACCAACTTGTCTTTGACAAAGGAGCTAAAAATATACGATGGAGAAATAGCAGCCTCTTCAACAAAAACTGCTGGGAAAACTGGTTAGCAGTCTGTAAAATACTGAAACTAGATCCATGTTTATCACCCTATACCAATATTAACTCAAAATGGATCAAGGATCTTAATATCAGACCCCAAACTCTAAAGTTGGTACAGGAAAGAGTAGGAAATACTTGGAACTAATAGGTATAGGCAAGAACTTTCTCAATGGAACCCCAGCAGCTCAGCAACTAAGAGATAGCATAGATAAATGGGACTTCATAAAACTAAAAAGGTTCTGCTCAACAAAAGAAATGGTCTCAAACTGAAGAGAACACCCACAGAGTGGGAGAAAATATTGCCAGCTACACATCAGAAAGGACTGATAACCAGAATATATAGGGAACTCAAAAAACTAAATCTCCCAAAATTAATGAACCAATAAAGAAATGGGCAAGTGAACTAAACAGAACTTTCTCAAAAGAAGAAATTCAAGTGGCCAAAAAACACATGAAAAAATGCTCACCATCCCTAGCAATAAGGAAATGCAAATTAAAAACCACACTAAGATTCCACCTCACCCCTGTTAGAATAGCCATCATTAGCAACACCACAACAACAGGTGTTGGTGGATGGAGGGGGATGAAGGAACACACCCCCCTCTAACACAGCTGGTGGGAATGTAAACTAGTACAACCACTCTGGAAAAAAATTTGGAGGCTTCTTAAAAAGCTAAACATTGATCTACCATTTGATCCAGCAATACCACTCTTGGGGATATACCCAAAAGACTGTGACTCAGGTTACTCCAGAGGCACCTGCACACCATGTTTATTGCACACTATTCACAATAGCCAAGTTATGGAAACAGCCAAGATGCCCCACTAACAACGAACGGATTAAGAAAATGTGGTATTAATACACAATGGAATTTTATGCAGCCATGAAGAAGAATGAAATGTTATCATTCGCAGGTAAATGGATAAGAATTGGAGAACATCATTCTGAGTGAGGTTACCTGGTCCAAAAGCCAAAAATCATATTCTCCCTCATATGTGGACATTAGATCAAGGGCAAACACAACAAGGGATTGGACTTTGATCACATGATAAAGCGAGAGCACAAGGAATATGAGGATAGGTAAGATAGCATTTGTTGCCCTTACGCAAGAAACTAAACAGATACTTTAAAGACTGAGGCCAATAGAGGAGAAGGACCAGGAATAAAGAAAAGGTTAGATCAAGAAGAATTAACTTAGAAGGTAACACACATGTACAGGAAAGCAATGCAAGTCAACTCCCTGTATAGCTATCCTTATCTCAACTAGCAAAAACCCTTGGTCCTTCCTATTACTGCTTATACTGTCTCTTCAACAAAATTAGAGATAAGGGCAAAATAGTTTCTGCCTGATAGCGAGGGGGTAGGGGTGGAGAGGGAGGGGGCCGGGGGGAAGTGGGGGAGAAATGACCCAAACATTGTATGCACATATGAATAAAATAAAATAAAAAAATTTTAAAAAAGATAAAGCTTAACAGAACAAATTATTCTTAGCCATGACTATGAACTAAGAAATTTACAGTCACATCAAAATTACTAATGATTTTGAATTACTGAGTGCCATCCCCATCTCTGGCCACTATAGTCTTTCCTTTTACATTAAAAAACGTAAGACACAAAAGTTACATTTAAAACTTCTAGCACCATAACAACTTAAATAAAAGGAAAATGCCTCCTGAAAATATTGATAAAAATTGA